GTCTACTCCTCCGATTACTACCGCTACTACGACTACGACGACGACGACTACGACTACTACTACTAGTGCTCCTGCTTCTGCTCTTGCTCCTGCTACTCCAATTCCTATTCCTACTCCTGCTCCTACTCCTCCTCCTGCTCCTCCAACTACTCCTCCAGCTCCTACTCCTTCAACTCCTGCTCCTGCTGCTGCTACCGCTGTTGCTACTGCCACCGCTGCTGCTACTGCCGCTGCTACTGCCACTGCTGCTACTACTACTACTACTGCTACTACTACTACCACTACTACTCTACCACTGCAACTGCCACTACTACTACTACTACTACTACTACTACTACTACTACTACCACTACTACCACCACCACCACCACCACCACCAGCACTAACACGCTGCTAGCACAACTGACAACACTACGACTTCGAAGTGGCAGGAATTCTCTTCATCATCCGAAGAGGACCCTCTCTCGTCATGAGAAGCCTCTCCCCTGGTCGCCAGGAACACATTCGAGCCTCCGGCATGGCTCTCGGGGGAGTTTGGGTTTACCGTTATTCGGAGGTTATGAGGCTTTATGGAGTTTTGGGGTCAAGGGCTTTAGAATCCGCCCAAAAAAACATTATCACTGCCGTGATCATTCCGATTATTGTTGGTCACTGTTTTTGTCATCAGCGGTGTCAATGCAATTCCTGTTGGTCATGTTAGTTTCTGTTATCATCAGTGTGGTTACCTGCACTAGGCGATAGCAGCGATAGCGCCAGTTCTCGTGTGTTTAGCGGTGTCGATTGCCGTTTCCCTCTGCGTTTCAGTTTGTTCGGGAGCCTACAAACCCCACACACCCTGAAAGCTCTAAGTGTAATCCCACAAGTCGGAAGAGTTTCCCTTCAAGGCATCGGACACTCTTCCACAGTTCGAGGACGTGGGAGCACGGAAGTTCTGGGGTTAAGTTTTAGCTTAAGGTTCTCAGGATTCAAGCTTAAGTCCTAGGCCTAGGCATTTCGGCCCTCAAGTGGGAAAGCTGAGATGCACTCGAAGATGGGCGAAGCACGAAGACAGCTACAAAGTACATACATGCATGGCTGCATGCACATGAATTTCATACGACCAGAAGATGGAAGAGACTAAACCGAGGTCTAGACTCTAGACAAAAACATGTCCCGAGCTGAGCAGAAACGTGTGCAGAATCAGCAAGAGACCGGGTGGCTTGCATGAGGCAAGCAACCGGATCGCACCTCTCTAATCGAAGCCAAGCCGTCGAAACTTAAGATTGTAAGCCCAGAGCATTTTTCATAAAACATCAAAACAAGCTTGGGCTGTCAGAATGTCAGAACGGTCACGCATCGCATGCTGACTTTCAGCGAGAGGGAGGACACAGCATGATGGGTTGTTGCTCACGGATTCAACTCTCTACTGCCAGCTTGCCACAAGCGAAGCTTTCGTGTTACGGTGTTTGCACTCACAGGCAAACAGGGATGGCGAGGCGACGTCAGCTTGCACTTCACATTCCCTCGTCCAGATTGCGAATCTTGTGGCGTAAACGAGGCCTTGGATGTGTCAGGGTTTCGGGTCACGTGTTGCGAGCCAGGAAGAGCTCCGGAAATGCAACACCGAGCAGGCCATCAATGACATCATCGAGTTGCTGCTCGGCCGTTTAACGTGCTTGCGCCATGAAGGACCCAACCGACATTCTCACATTCTCTCACAAGGGTTTGATTGTGACAAGGCCTCGTATTTCTTTTCTCGCCCGAATCGTGTTGAAGGGGCAGGGGTTGCGGAAGGGCTCTCTGACAGCTATTGTTGTCCATGTATAAACCGAACTCTATGTGAGTTGCACCAAACGACCGGTGGCGATAGTGGTCAAAGTAGCAGCAGTAGCAGTCGTAACCCGGCAGTACGCAAAAATGGATTTCGCCGTGAAGATCATGGTCTGGACAGTAGCAAGACCCAGACTGTGAGACTAGCATGTTTCTGTTCGTGCTTGCTGCAGCTTTGCTTAGGGCCTCGTTTCTCTGACGAGAACATCAAACCTAGGAACCACGAGAGCTTCAGAAGAAGTCCTTTTTTGTCTGAGGCCTCTTGTGGCACGTTGAGGGCTTATTATCAACAGATGTAGGGCCTTCGAGGGCTTCGCAGGGTTTGGTTTCCAGGGATTTGGGCACATTTTGTGCACATGTTAGCAATCCTGGATCTCGAGCTGGCTCTTTGCGCTGTGAAGCTTGAACCCCGAGCGTGCAAGAAGACTGCAATCCTTCAGAAGAGCCAAATCAACAAAAGCTTCCATCACTGTCCGACCCACCCGAACCCAAAAAGCCACGAGGAATTCCAGGCAAAGATCTTCGGTTTATAAGGATAGTTTTACTGTGCAGGGGTGTAGGTTTCAACACGAAGATGGGTCGTCACCGCGCAGTTGAGGTACGGCCAGCACTTCACCAAAGGGCATGTGTGGCTCTCGGCTGTGAGATGTGGTTGCTGTAGTGTGCGTGAACCGGAAGTGCAAGCTGTTTTCAGAGCCTCCAATATGGCTTAGGGCTCAGGGCCCCTAAACCCTACACCTGAACCCTAAACCGTTGGCGAGGACTTACGGCTCTGGGGTTCAACCCTGTACATTGAAGACGTTGCCTCACTTCACGCCGTGTGAAGGGTACGTCTTGGGACTTGCAGGGGTACCTGTCTGGCATGCAGTACACTACTCTCATCGCGAGGCTGCTTCTTTGGACAACCTTTGATTCTTCCTCGTTCATGATCAGCACTAGCGGTCTAGCTCGTCCCTTTTCACCTTGCTCCCAATTGTCCGACCGACAGTATGTCCAAAAGCTTCCAAACCCATCTGCCCCGTTTCTTGATGGCTCATTTTCTGTCCTCACTATTCTTGCTACGTTTCTTGTTTCTTCGTATGCTGTTGGCTGGGTACATTCCGGCAATACATCAGCAAAGGTCGTGGCGGCTCTCTACCAATTGGGTCTTTGTCGACAGAAGCCCAGACGCTCGATGCAAATGGCCGAACTCCATGACTGGATTTTTGGACGTTGGTTCGGGGTTGCCCAGGCCCAGGTCCTTCTTGATGGGTGAGGGGACTCAGTGATGGAGGGCATGTCCCGCAGCTTCGCCACGGGCACGTAGAGCTTAGCTGCTTAGCTGGACGGCTAGCTGAGTCAGAACTTGAATCTGAAACATCCCATCGCAACTCGTGCACAAAGCCAGGCTTCACAGTAATGCCGTCCCTGCGCATGAGCCATATGGTTTTCATAGCTCAGGTTGATTAGCAACCGTGCGCATTCAAGTCATCTCTCGACCGCCCGCACCACCGGACCTTACAAGCACATCGGCTGTCATGCGAAAGGGCCAAGGCGCTTCGGAAGTTCGGCCAGCTGGGCACACCCGGACAGAAGCCAAAACCCCCTCCTCTGAAGTCTTTAGTGCTTGTGAGCTCCTGCTCCCAGCGGCCAAGGAAACGACTCGGAACCTAAGTCCGGGCCTCGGTTTCTTCGAACCGCCCTTTAACACGGTCACCAATCGCAGTCAAAGGTGGCAGAAGAGTAGCGCTGTGTGGCCATGACAAACAGAACCACAGACTTCGAGATCATTGCTTTACATTCCTTCAGGGAACCTTAAAGGGGTCGAAACGCCGCCCCGCGAGTTCTAATTTGTTGGACTACCGCGCAGGAATGTTGGCTTAGCCGCGGCCCTGCTAGAAAGAGCGGCTCGGACGAAATGAGAAGCCTTTTCCCGTGTCGCTTTGGGATCCCAGCATTCGATGGCGGTTGATTTCGGATGAGATGCCATGAGGCATGAAGGAAGGAAGTGTTCGGATTCATGAGCTGAAGGAAAGCACGAACTTGGCTTCAGAAATCCCTATCCCGGACTGGGTTACGAGGTTTCCTCGTTTTGGTGCTTTGGATAAAAGGACCGCTGCGTGCTCTCTCTAGGGCTCTAGGTACGGGAGAATGCTTATAGTCGAGGCCCGACATTCGCCTGGGCGGTGTTTCAAAGGTCATGCACGTGCCTGGAAGATCGCTCTATCCCACTGAACACGCAACATCTCTCGACCCTTGTACGCCCAGACACAGACAGTTCCAGAGTTTCCAGAGTTGCCATGTTGTGGAAACTGCCGAGATCATGCAAATCCCGTCCAAGACCTTTGCTGCAGAAGAGGCCGGAGCTACAGGTTTGTAGTTGCACTGTGGAAAGGGGGCTTCGACCCAGAGCATGCGCTGCAAGGAAGTCTTGGGGGGGGGGGCAGATCATTTACATTTGGCTCCTGCTTTCAAACTTGTTTGGGACTCCAGGCTTAGAGTATCCGACCCGAGAGCCAAACCTTCAAAACCTAAGCAAACCCTAGACCCGAAGCCCTAAAGCGTGACCGTGTTGCGGGGCTCCTCTGAAAGGCGAGCCGCGTCGTTTGGGCGCTGGCCGCTCTCGACGAGGAGCATCGAACGGAGTTAAGTGGGGGGGTTCAGAAACTTGCCGAGGACAAGCTGTAGTTACGCATGGTATCTGCCGAGGACAAGATGTAGTTACGTATGGTATCTATAACCTTCTATAACTATAACTTTGCAACAGCTACGATACTAGACTATGAATAGATCATGTCATTTACGGTTTTTATCTGGCTCGGAAGAAGCGAGCGTGAGAAACGGTGTTCGCCAAGGTTTTCACCGGGTTTATAGATGGCTTGGGATCCCCAACCTCACCTACCACCACTTCTTTTGTGTAGATGAAAGATTAAATATAGTTTCTCTATGAGGATTTGTTTTCAGGCCGTGCAAAAAAGTAGGTTCTAGTAGGCCAAGGTGGATCGAACCCCGAGGTTTAGCTATGTCGGGTTTGGGTTACGGTTTGAGTTTCGGGTATTTAGAACTGAGGACTCAAGTCCCAGATGGGCTTGGGTTTCAAGCGGTGATGCTTTTGAGTAGTTCAGGGTGTTGGGCTTCAGCGGTTGTTTCTTTGGCTGAGGGCTTTGTTCTGAAGTCTGCTTGGACAGTTGGAACTTCTGCTTTGCAGGCTCTCAGAGGTAGATTCGCAGCCTAATCAGATTGCAATAGGGCCCCACACATTCGGTAGGGTCTTGAAAGCGGGTGTTCGGGGCCTGTACTATGGGCTTATCTCCTTCAAGGATTAAGTCCCACGCCCTTTGCAAAGGTCCAGGCAACAAGCACCAAAAATCGCTTTGCACGGCTGCATATCCGACAACCTCACTGGGACGATCCCATGCAGCTTCCCAGTCATCGCCCAGGGTTACAGAGGTGTCATCACGGGTCCCGTGCTGTTCAGAGCAGCTATCTAGCAAGGCGTGAAGGCTTGGAGGGTTTCCAACTTCTGTCAGGCTCATCTAGATCAACGCCCCGGACCCAAACATCTGCCGAAAGCGTATGCAAGGCCTCGAGTAGGTGTTCGGTGCCCTCAGTAGACCAGTAGTCGTTGACACCACTGGTACACACCATTCGGACGTCGGCCTCGATCTCGTCAAGGACCTCCCTCACCTCCACAAAGTAGAGGGGAAACTTCACCAGGACATCCAGGACGCTCGTCTGAAAGGCCACTGCAGTCTCGTCCGCAAAACGCCTCGTCAGTTCGTCACAGACCGCATTGTAGGCCCGCATGACTTCATCTGGCCATCGCGCCTCGCCAGTAGTAGCCGCAGCCTCAGTCTGTTGTTCCGGCACCGCCATTGTGAAGTCCATCTCAGCTGCTGCACGCCAGCCACGGTTGTACAGCAGTGCATCCAGGCGAGTCCCGTAGGTGAACCGCAAGTCTTGTCCTAGACCAGTAGTTGCGTCCGCCGGCCCTACAGGCCGTTCCTCCGGTGACCTTGCGGTAGGCAGCGCGCCTGCCATGCGTCTTAAAGAAACGCGCTCCCAGAGCGGCCTTGGTACGGACGGCTTTGCAGCATATCCGACACACCCACGGAGCTGCAACCTCCGACGCCTTGGGCCACTGGCTGCACGCCCTCTTGTAGAGGCCCCACAGTGCCAGGAGGGTCAGCTGCTCGCGGCCAAAGTACACAAACTCCTTGGCGATTTTTGCCGCAATCTGGGGCGCTTGACCCAAATTCCCCAACTCCTTGAGCAAATGATGCCAGCGAGGCCAGCTGGCCGGATGTAGATCAGGCCATTGACTTCCCCCCTCACGCACAAAGGCCAGGTCCTTGCGGACGGTCGCGTTCCATACATCATCTCTTTGAAGGACCGCCCATAACAGGGCAGGGGCTGTCCAGCACATGGCCATCAGAAGGGATAGCCGCGCCTTCCTGGCGTAAGTCGCTAGAGCAGGGGTCTCGGTCAGGATGTGCACCACCGGCGCAGGCAGCTTGTAGTAGAGCTCTCCCTTGAACTGCTTGTAGAGGAGCCCTTTCAGGATCTTCGTGAAACCACCTGCAAGGAGGTCCCACGCACGGCCGTTCGGTACCCAAAGTCCCAGATTGAACCCCGTGGACGTGACCGCCGTGTGGAAGAGTGAAGCTCGGAGTGGCAAGGGGATGGTCAGATCAGGGACCTTCCCGCTTCAAAAGCCGCCTTGGCCATGCCCAACCTTTGACGAGCTTCCTGCACCAGCTTCATCTCCGGCTCAATCACACCACCTGGATGCACATAGGCTGGGGCGATCTGGATCCTTCTGCAGCTCAGGCAGGGCCAAAGTGCGCTTACCGTTCGGGAACCACTCCTGTCGGGCCTTCCTCGCTCCACTCCCCCGTAGTGCAACGATAGTCGCCGTTTTCTTGGGCTTGAGGTTGGGGATCATGCCATGACGTTCAGAGAACTCGATGATCAATGCTGTCAGGCGGCCCAGCTTCCTCATAAGCCTAGTCGGGGACCCATCACTCAGCTGGAAGGCACAATCATCGGCCCACTCCTCGTTGACCTGGAGGGGGGTCAGCAGCTCCTCGGCCGTCGCGACCTCATGAAGCTGCGTCAATATCCTACTCAGGACAAAGGCATACACCACATCAGCCCATCTGGATCCTGGCCTTGAACCTGCACGGGTGACGTTCACTCGCTCTTGGGTCCCATGCCTGGTAGCAAACCAGGATCGGTACAGCATGTCTTTGACGAGGTGTCGGAGTGGAGGGCGCATGTTGGCATCACCCATCATGCCACCCTCACGGATCATGGCCCTGAAAGCTTCCATGTCCTCCGCCTGGAGTCCGAAGACCTTGAAGATGTAGGACACCGCGCGGTCGCTTTCAAGCTCAATCTCCCCGACCGCCAGTTCACGGATAACTCGGTAGTATGCACTCTGAGAGTCGAGGAACACTATCGCCACACTTCGCCCCACCTTCTTTTCACCCCTCAAGAAGGCTTGCAGGTACAAAGCCGGGAGCAGAACAGGTGCCCGCTTTCGGGCACCTACTTGAAGGTCATGTAGCGCTTCGCTCATCGGTGTCCCAGCTCGTTCCCGGAGAAGACGATGGAAACTCTTTCCAGGGAGAGAAGAGACAAAGAGGGGCCGATAACTGGATACGTCATTGCGAGCACCCGAGCGTTTCCAGGACTCTTGGAGGATTCGTGCAAAGGTTGGCACATCAGAAGGGTGGATTTTGCCACCAAAGGGTAGAGTCTGCTGGTGCAGCAGCCAGCACTGCCGCAGTAGCAGAGTGGTTCCCCTTGGCATCCTGCAGAGCTGGCATAGGCATCCACGGCGCCCGAGCGGCCCTGCCGCCAAGCCGCACGTTTGACCTGCCGTAGGACATCTTGAAAGCTATCCCCTCCAGCAGTCGCCAAACCCCGCAAGTAGTTGTTCTTGTCCTATCTCACGTGCCTGCGGACCCGGCATGTCACAATCTTGACAGCCGCCGCGACAAGTTCATACAGCAGGTTCTGCTTCTCAACCAGGCCCTCCGCAGAGTAGTGTGCTCCTAGGGCCCCTGTCCCGAATATCAGCTCAAAGTCCACGACGGTGTCACGACTTGTGCTTGAGGGACATCTTTCGGCCACGTAGGGCCCAGGCCTTGGCCGAAATGTAATCGCTTTTGGGCTGCCGGAAGTGCGCGCCCCCCTTGAGACAGGATCTTATCCCCGATACCGGGATCGGCAAATGCGACACTTATTGGCAACGCTGTCGGTCGTGGTCTTCATTCGGCGCCATCGTGCCGAACTCCACCGCCACCCAGCTCCGTAGGCTCTCAATCACCAGGCCCCCCAGGGCCACATATAGTCAGTCTGTGCTCGGCTCCGTTCGCCTGCCTGTAGTAGGTGACGTCAGTGCCCTCATGCAGTGCCGCATACGCCGACGGTATACACAAGTGGCAACGCTGCGCGATCTGCACAAACCCGTGACCATTCTGATTCACGTCACTAAGGCCTTCTCACCCGTCACCCCCTGGACGTCAACAGGGACTCGGCCGTTGAGGTCCAGCCCGCACACCACCAGACTCGACTTCACCAGTGGTAGTAGCGCCTCACAGAGGTCCGCCACTGCGCATCTCCCCCACATCTTGCCGCCATGTGGCGCGTGTCCTGCCACCACCACAATTTTTCGTCCCCCACCGTCAGCGGCCAGTATAGGAGTCGCGGGGTCTCCTTCACGACTCGGATGTCGTCCTCCGTGACTCGGTAGGGCTTCCCATCTTGCGCAAGCAAACCAAACTTCTTGCTGATGCAGATGGCCACTCCCCAATGTGTATTGCCTTCGGTTGTCAGCCGAAGGAGATCCCGGCTCTCACATATTCCAGAGTGGCCCTTGACCTCCTGGAACATCGCCAGGTTACGTTCCATACCATTCAGCTGGCTCTCGTAGTAGCGGTGCTTGCCTTTGACGCTCTCCGCCTTGAGGGACAGAGCGACCATGTGCATCTTGGTCGGCTGGTCCCTGTCGTGGCCTCCGTCAGCTACAGGGATAAGCTGAGTGGGGGTGATGTGAGGCTTGGGTAGCCTGCTCTCCAGATTCCATGTGATGCCTCCTGCCGGGTCAACAGGCAGAGCACCATTCCCCAGAGCACGATGGATGGTGGCCATCCACGACAAATCAACTCGTTGAAAGGCCTGGCTGACACCTCTTGGAGGGGCTGGGAGTATGACGCCACCTGCGACGGTTTTGGACAACACATCTGCCATCTCGTTTTACGGGCGTCCACTGTGAGCCTTCACGTGCTCAACCTCGAGGGGGACTGGGAGAATCTCCTGCAGGTAGAGCTCCAAGTGATGGCTACGGGACCCAAGCTCATTCAAAGGTCGCCAGTCCCCAGTTACTCAGTTACTGCTCGCCGCGGTACAATCGTAGTGAAGCACATAGCGGCTGACCTCGAGGAAAGCTCTACTCTGCAGTATCCACAGCAGACTGGTGGCCGATGCCACCTGTTCATTGTGCAGAGCCGGCACCGTTTCCGCCGGCCAAGCCGTAGCCATGTTTCTCCGGGTAGCTTCACCCCAAAAGCCCATGATCAACCGCGTAGCCGCCGATTTCCTTGTCCTCTGTCCAAGACCCGTCCGAGAACAGGTGCATCTCCGGCCGTACCCCTGACCGGCTTCCACCAAGCAGCCAGCTCCAGTGAACCGCCTCCTTCATTGCCGTAACCGTCGGCGGCTTGAATTGAACATCTGGGAACCTGCTCAATCCAGACCGGGTCCCAAACCCTCGTCATCTCCACCAGCCCCTCAGGCTCACACGGACACGGGAGCTGTAGAGTATGCTTCGCAACGTCAAACTCCGGCGGTGGTAGTAGAGGTAGAAGCGAATCACGTTTCCTCTGTGCTCGGGCTGTGACCGTCGCGGGGACCTGCTTCTGTCATACACTGGCCTGGGAGGCGGCGGGCCCATCGGTGGCCCGTCTCGGATAGATCGCTCGAGTCAGGTAAGGGGTCATTCTGATCCGAGCTGTCATCCGAGTCTTTCACCGGGCCGTCACCATCTTCCTCCGACTCCGTGAGTGCCGAAGTCTCTTTAAGAAGGATGTTGAGGGTCTCACCGTCCTTGACCTTGAGGACCTCCTTGTCGGTTGTCAACTCTCCTCCTTCAGTGAGTATGGTCCATCCTTCCACAGCCGGTGTGTGGATGCCCTCTAAATACTCAGTCGTGTTGAAAAAGTGGCCCGGGAGGCAATGCCACGAAGATCAAGGAAGACAATGGTAGCTTCCGGGTCATCCTCCTGTGTGCTGCAACCGCTGGTTCATTTGGCGCTCGCACCCAGCACTGTCGTCTCGGGAACCCCATCAACTGTTCCGCTAAGTCGGCGCGGTTGGCTTCCGCACCCGGAAGCTCGTAATACACCAGTTGCTCCTCCGGGCTCTGGTAGACAACGTGCTCATTGTTGTCATCCTCCGAATTCGCCGCCCGAGGGTTCCACCGTGAGGGGTCCGTGACGGCGAGCTCGTCCTCCCAGACGCATGGCTCACCTGCATACAAGGCCTTGATGACGCCCCCTTGTGCTGGTTCCGGCGGTGGTGAACCACGTCGGAGGGGGGCCGGGCTGCCAAACAGGAAAAGGTCAATGCTGTCAGCATGATGTGTGCTGAGGGATTCAACCGTGATGGGGCCATCGTGGTACACAGAGAAGAGCTCCCCACCGACACCTCTGTTGTTATCTATAACAAAGACCCATTTTCCAGCGATGGTCAGGTACTTCACCTTGTCCCGGGGCAGCCGTAGCAAGGAGAGGGGCCTTCAGAGTGTTGCAGCGGAGCATTGAGGATCAACTCGCTCACTGCTCTTAGATCTTGCTCCCTGGCAGTCAGTTGCCCGGAGTGTCTGGATGTTTGGGATCCTGGACCCTCAAATTCTGTTGCAAGCACGGAGCTCCCGGGATGTACATGACCGTGAACCTTGGTGAAATGCGGCACGGCCCTGAGGGCCTGAGGGAGGCCACGACCGTCTGGAACGACAAGGACTTCGTGGACGGCGTGTCTACGATGTTTTCGACCTTTGGGATTTGTCCATTGAGGTCCTTTCTTCCTTTGACCTGGCGATGTTCGCTGGCTTTGGCCGGGCAATGGTCGGTTGGCAGATGACCTGCCTTCTCCTACAGACCTGTGCTCTGATTGTGCTGCTGATGCTCTGCGGCCATACGATGGCGACAGGAAGACGCAAGCCTGTGCGTGTACAGGCGGGCTGCAACCTGAAGATCCTCCTCGCCTTCGGTGTCATCGGGATGGTTGGCGCCACCAATGGCGAAGCTACGCCACAACATCAAGGCGGAATGCCACAGCATTGCAGTCGGCGGGGTTTTCCGAGGCCTGCCCCGCAGACTGACTTGGAACTCTGGCTCCCTTCACAAAGGCAGCCACCTGGACATTCGTCAGCGTCTTGTAACCCAAGAACACCTCCTCACACAGGTAGGCATGCAAGTAGGCCATATCCGCTGGACAAACCATATCCATTCCACGGGTTCCCGTCCCTTCAGCAGCCATGCTGCCATGCTGGCAGTAGCAGGCATCTGCTACTCCACTTCGCGGTCCCTGCCAGGTTCGCCAAGCTGCACGTCCTCGTCCGGGTCGTCCGAGAGGATCTCCGTCGGAGTCGCAGCCGTCGCGCCAGCCCGGTTTGCTTCCCTGCGTGCCTCCAGCTTGTCGGCCAGACCCGATCCCGCTGGTCGTGTCTTGCTGCCAATCAGCTTCACAGGAATCCTCGTGCTCACTCTCGACTTTGAGCGAGGTGATCCTTCCAGCAGAGGCATGGCCGTCGTCGAAGGAGAAGCCATGTATGGGTCTAGGGCCACAGGTCACACTGCATCTCCACTTGCCATGCCGCGGCCAAGTCTGTCCGTAGCCGGAGGGGTGGCCACCGCCACATAAGGGCGCCGACCCTGAGGTGTAGACGGCTCCGCTTCCTTCAGAGCTCGGCCTGCAAGACTTGCTGTCTGACAGCTTGTTGTGTCGCACGCTTTCCAGCCAACGCACCCGAAACCAGGCCAGCCAGGCCCACGTCGTCGTCCTCGCCTCCTCTCGCATCAGGCTGTCCCATGCCTGCTCTTCCTCCAAATGGGCACGACTTCTACCTCCACCCGGCTTGAAACCACCTCCAGCGATGGCCTCCTGCAAGTCGCTGAGGGCCGCCTCTTCGTTGAGGAGGTTCTCTTCTTGCTCTGCCCGGAGCACCTTGGTCGCGTCGAGAAACTTGGTACGCTCCTTGAGGAAGGCCTTCTTGAGCTTGTCCTGGTATGCAGTCCACTGCTCCTTCAGGTAGGTCGCTTCTCGTCCGTATTCCTCACCTTCACCTCTGCCTTGCTGAGGTTGTTGACCAGGCGTTGTGCCCCTGACACCAGATCCATGGTCTTGGATCCCCACCAGCATTGGTCACCGGCATGGTGTCGAAGGTCGGGAATGAGGGCTCCTCCGCCTCGCGCCACGAAGGTTGCTGGGTGGTCCTTCCCTTTGTCCTGACCCTTGCCACGCTGTCACCCCTGCCAGCCACGCTGCGGTGGCTGCCCACGTCGCGAGTATGACCAATCTTGTGGCCATTAGTCTTTCTTGCCCATAGAGGACAAAGTCTCCCGGCAAATCGGGGCTGAGTGATGGCCTGAAGAAGGCCAATGTCTCGCTGAAGAGGACGGAGGCCTCTAGACTGCAGCTCGGCGATTTCAAGTGCCGGCCAGCCACTATGGCGTCGTTGCGGTCGGCTGCGCCCCCTTCCATGGCTATTGCTGGTTGGGCGTCCGGTTGCTAACGGTTTGGACCGTA